TATATATATAGATACATATATATGTATATATATATATATATACATGTACAGTATATATATATATAGATACATATATGTACATATATATAGATATATATATATAGTTATAGTTTTTACAGAGAGTACTTTCAATATGTATGTCTTTACTGTGATTTTTTTACTATATGCATGTTTGTTTTCAATGATCAGGGGGAGGAAACCTGCTCCAGCACTGAGACCACAGACAAACCAGACAGCACAGGTCCAGGTGAGACCCACAATTCTTCAGTGATGTAGAGATGTATTTAAACATTTAGCTCGTTTGTAGAAGAACCTGTGAATGATTCCCGTTACTCTGATGTTAATTATTCACTCTGATGTTAATTATTCCACAGACTCCCAGTCTTCCACTGACATCCGCATTCAGAACGGAACGCTTGTCACAACGACCACAACAACAGGAACAGGAACAGGCGTGGCATCGCTGCATGTGGTCCAGGCCCGACCCGTCTGGCCCAGTGGCCCCGCTTTAACGGCACGTGTACGTCGGCTCATCACCGCCTACCAGAGATTCACGCTGCGGCGAGAACCTCTGCTCAGGAACGACTTCCTGCTTCACGACAACCTCGTCAGCATGGGGATGGCTGGAGGCGGCGCCTCGCACAGTCACCACGCTGGTGGATCACAGCAGTGGCAGCTGAGTGAGGAGCTGAGGAGGTGCTCTGTGGTCAGCGCAGAAAATGATCCGCTGTTTCTGGAGTGGCAGAGAAGGTAACAGTGCTGAGATGCTCTTACTGTAAAAACCAAATATTATATTTTATCTGTTATTAAGTAAAATTGTACAACAGGATTTAAATCAGGGCAGCTGCAAGATTGGTAACTGATCTATGAAATCAAACTAAGGACAATTGAACTGCATTTCTCTTGTAGATAAAATCATTTTTTATTACATTTTAACATATTGTATGCCGATTATCAGTGTTTTATACAATGGTTTCATTTCTCCTCAGATGGACTCGTCGAGAGCAAGCAGACTTTTACCGCACTGTGTCGTCGTTCGGGGTGGTTTATGACCCAGAGAGGAAAACCTTTGACTGGTCCCAGTTCAGAGCATTGGCACGACTGGAGCGGAAGACGGACGAGAGTCTGGAGAGATATTTCAACTCCTTTGTCAACATGTGCAGGACGGCCTGTAAGCTGCCCCCGAGGAAGGAAGAAGGTAGTGTTACCAAGTACTGAAGGACGGATTCTGTCAGATACTGAGAGACAGAGACATGAGACATGACAGTGGATATGACCTGCTGTTGTTCTTTGTCTGTCCAATATTTGTAGTGTTTCCATGACTTTATGTTCAAGATGCGATTATTCTTTACAGACAGAATGAACAGAAGGAACATTACAATATAGATTATACACAATTAAAAAAAGAACAGCATGTTTAACAAATCTTGAAAAAGATAATTACATTTAGAGCTCATTGGTGTTCAAGTTTAAAATAAATAATTTGAGTTTGAGGTAGCCCGTGGCCTAGTGGTTAAAGGTCTAATGGAGTATACAACAAAATGTGTCCTTTTGATTTTAACTACAATCAAACTTCAACTGCTCTCAGCAAAATACCTGATAGAACTGGTGATTCCTACACACACTCTAGCACTGCAGGGGCCGACATTCAAACCACAACCGATCTTTAAACCACTGGTCCACTTCTTCACCTGCAGATCTAATTGTCTTCCTAGTGTTGACCGTTTTTTGATGAAGGCTAATAATGAACATCTTCTCACACCAGGGTTGGTGGATCCCACACTGTTGGTTGAACCTCTGACAGAAGAGAGAGCAGCGCGGACTTTGTACAGGATTGAGCTGCTGCGCAAAATCCGAGAACAGGTGAAGAACTTTGAAGAGAGGAATTTACACAGTCCTCTGCTGTGAGGTGTTTATGTTGAATGTATTGAACGGATTTTTTCTTTTGGTTAAATCAAATCTTCAAAAACATATTTTATTTTCCTAAAACTTTTGTCTCTCGACACTTATGTTATAATGTATTTCATTGGTCTAGACTCTTTAGTTGGTATTGTTGTTATAAAGGTAGTTAAACAGTTAACTATCAGTTTATATTTTATCTCTTAATGTGAGTCCTTTCCCTTTTTCTTCCTCCACCTCTCAGGTTCTCCGTCACCCATTACTTTCAGCCCGCCTCCAGCTCTGCCGTCCCTCCCTGTACCTCCCAGTGTGGTGGGAGACGTGCAAGCACGACCGTGACCTCCTTTTGGGGGCAGCACACCATGGTTTGAGTCGAACAGACTTTTACATCCTCAATGACCCCCAGCTGAGCTTCCTGGAGGCTCACAGGAACTACGTCAGGGGCCAGCACCCTCATATTCACCCTCAGTCTCATCACCACTCGTCCCTGGCTCCTCATTCTGGCTCCCTGTCCTCCTCCTTGTCTCACACATCTCTGTCCCACCCTCACTGCTGTCTGTACGATTCGGGCCTTAGTCAGCACTCACCCCAGCCTCCAGAATACCCTCACCAGTCTTCCCACCACCCGCAGCATCACATTGTGCCTCCACCTCCTTCTACCTGCTCCTCTCACCCACACCTTCAGCCTCCACCTCTGGACACCAGCGATTCTGCATCTCCAAGCCTGGGAATAGTATCTGGATCACGGAGAGATTTCCTGGACAGTCCTCACCTGGAGGATCCCTTGGAGCTGAGTTCTCTGCAGCACGACATGTCCACCGACCCCCTCCATGGAGGGAAGACGTCCAAAGACGCTCTCAACGGTTTCCCCTTTAACTCGGCAGCAGGAGGTCAAAGCATGCTGAACTCGTACGGTGTAGGAGGAACCGATCTGGACTCTAAACTGAGGAGTGATGTCCTGGTGGGGGAGCAGGGCTCGTCTGAGGAGACTGGGCTGATGGCACCGTCGGTGGAACTGGACAGGTTACAGGTATTTACTGTTTGTTCCTGTAAAATAATGAGCTGGTGTTTTTTACAATAAGACAATAACTGGTTTACAAGAATTGTTACGTTTTTTTCTCTCTGGCATGGAAAATATAAATATATATTGAGATTTTTTGACTTGACCAGCATTTATTAATTATGTGTGTTAATTGCAAACTGTTTTTTATTCTATCAGTCTATTAAAATTTAAAATGCAGACAAAATTGTATGTTAAAAAAAGCTGCTTAAATTCCTACAAACTGATGTTGTTACACTGAGGTAAAACAACACATCTCACTGGCTGACCAGTAACTAGCTGATGTTCTTGAGTACATATATTTGAAAGTATCCCATCAGTACTAATGCTGTTATCTGTATCCTTACATTCCATAGTAATGTAATTGTGTTTTTAGGCTCCATGGGATGGTACTGACCACTCCAGTCCTGCTCACCACATGTTCAATGAGTCTGACCCCATCCTTGGCCCCTCTGCTCTGGAGACTGGTTTCCTGGAGGAGGAGGATGAGGAGGCACAGGGCAGAGACAGGGAAGGGGAAGAAGGAGGAACTCTGGAGGAATGTTTGGGTCTCCCACCTTCCTCCCCCTCCCACCCATCAGCAGGAGATTCTGTTGAGCCACTGTCCTCGAGTTACATGCTCTTCAAGGTCAGTCTTGTTCAGGTGGAGACACTGTTATATCACGTCAGTTCCACACTCACCTACGACTCTGTTTTCTGTCCAGGACATTGGTGTGAGTGAGGAACCCAGTGCAGATCAGACAGACCTGTCAGCCAGCCCCCCTCCTCCTTACGTTCCCCCTCCTCCTTTCTCTCTGTCTGATATCACCACGCACGATCCTCAGGACAGGCTGGTTCAGTCTGACGTCACTGAGAGCCTGTCCAATCCGGTGGATGAGGAGGAGGACCAGGAAAGAGGAGCTGGGTTCCAGTTTGATGACAAGGAAGAAGAGGAGGATGGAGAGTTCAGGGAGGAGAGCATGGAGCACAGTGTTCAAAAACTAGGCAGTCAAGGTTTGGAGAAAGAGCAACACGACGCATACCAAGGTATGATGGGAAAAAAAGACTGTAGTCATTTTAAGGATTTTAACTGTCTTTTAAAAAGATGTTAAATATAGGAAATGTATTTTACGTACCAGTTTCAACAACTTTGGAATGTTTATAATCTGACTAAATCTGTCTTTGTAGATGAAAATTTGGAAGAACTGAACCCACACCTGGACCAGAGTGAGGGTCTGCAGGAACAGGAAGAGAAGATGGAGGTCTCAGGGCATCAGAAATCCACAGAACAAGGAGAACAAAAGACAGACTTTTCCCAAGATGTGCATCATTATCTCGGGAAGATGGATCAGTGCCCAGCGGCGATTGAAGATCCCGGAGAAGAGGAGGACAGGATGATCATGTACCAGACGGATGACGCAACCACGGTGGAAAACTCTACAGAATCTGGAGAGTTTCTTCAAGTGAGAACCGCTGTGGAACGGTCCAGTGGGGATGATTTAATGGAGCACTCAGAGCTTTCAGATCAGCTGGATGAAGTGGTTGAAGGTCAGATGGATCACGTCCCTCTGACGGAAGTGCCACTGGGTCAGTCAGGTGTTGAAATGGAGATGAAAGATTCCAATGCCAAAGATGGTCACATGGATCTGGACATTTACTCTGAATGTACTCAATCTTCCTCTGGACTTCCTGCTTCTTTCTCAACTGTGACATTTGTATCGAAGCCTGATGAGATCTTCACACAGAGCGGTGGAGGAGAGGACAAAACTGACGGTGTCACTGATCCAAATTCAGGTGAAGATTGCAAGAATAAAGCTCAGACAATCCTGCATGTTGAGGTCAACAACGACAATCTTCAACAGAATGAAATTATAGTTGCCTGTGATTTATCTGAGATCGTCAGCGACTCAAAACCCTCTGATCTATGTGTTCCTCTACCTTCACCAGAACCTGACCTAGAGCAGAAACCACTGCCAGCAGATCTACCAATCAAGTTAGAGGAGACCAAGATGGAGAATGTTGAAGAAGCGTTGCCCATGTACCCTGACAGCTCTGTAGTCAAACATGAAAAACCTCTTTTTGACCCCCAACGGACAGACGACCTGGTGACCAAAGGTGAGCAGATAGATTATCCTCTGAGAGAAGAAGAACTGGAGTGCAAACCTGAAGATCTGAGCCTTCACATTAAATCAGAGAACTTAGACAGTAAAGCAGAGGTTCTTCAGTTTGCATCCTTCTCAGATGGATCTGAAGTCAAATCTGAGGCCAAACCAGTGGCTCTGTGCTTCACTGCATATCCACGTGGACCAAAATTTAAAAATGAGGCAAAACCAGAAGGTTTTATCAACACAGCTTTTCATGACTCCATCAAATCTGACACCAAACCAGAAGGTCTGGAGTTCGCAGCCTACCCAGACAGCTCTGAGGTCAAACCTGAGGCCAAGTCAGGCCCGCTGGATTTTTCAACTCCAACTGGAATAAAAACTGAGTTGAAGCAGGAGCTGTTGGAGGCCGACAGCACCGTCCTCACCCCGAAGCTTGAGCAGACGGATGGGCTGGTTGACTCCTCAGAGAGCCTGGTGGAGAAAGGACAGGTGAAGGAGGAGAGTCCGGTGACCTCAGGTACGGGTGTTTTTTAAAGAATTCAGTAAATGCTTTAATAGATTCACAACATAAAACCATCATTCTATTTTATTAGTGCCTCTGGTGGAAGGTTACGCAGACAGCTCCAGGTTCAGGTCTCCCATTTCCATATGTGAGATCCCTGATGGCCTCCATGATGCCAGGGAGCCGACCATCGCACAACTCTTGCAGGAGAAAGCACTTTACTCCTTCTCAGAGTGGCCAAAGGTTTGTATTGTCAGCTTCGTCCTCTGAAATGAATGTTAAGGCTTAAATGGATGACAGCGTTATACAGAGAAATGAATACCACTGTCATCTGTATAGCATTCTAACAATTAGCCTCACAAATATGATATGGTAACTTCTTAGCAGTTTAAACTTATGGGTTTAAAGTTATCATGGAAAATGTCAAATTATGTATGTATTATGGAAGTCATTAAAGACATAAGTCTCACAGGCAAAAATAAAACAGTCAAAACAAGTTAAAATAAGTAAAATAAAAATGAAAACAAACTTGGTTTAAGGCACTTAATCAAATCAAATAAATGAGACCAAGATCTCAAGTGTCAGTTAAGTCAGTAACTTACTCAACCTCCCTTGCCCCTCTCCCACAGGACCGTGTGATCATCAACCGCCTGGACAACATATGCCACGCCATCCTGAAGGGGAAGTGGCCTTGTCCTGGGGAGCAGCACGACTCACTGGGCTCCCTGCCCACGAACCCCTGTCTTTCCAACAGCTTAGCCCAGCATCACCACCACCACCAACGGACAGGATTCCTCCCCTCCACTTCAGCCTCCTCCATCACGGGGCAGGCTCGAGTTCAGCAGACCACTCCTGGACTGGGCTTCTCCATCCCGCCTCCTCTCACTAGAATACCCAAGGTGAGAACATAACAGTAGCTTAGAACTGATGCACCAGCTGACGGACTCCCACATTTTTGTGCATATTTATGTATGTGTCATCTGTCTACATTGATATCCACTGTCTGACACAGATTATCTCAGGTCTAAACCGGTTTTAGTTTAAATTCTACGTCATAATGAAGAGGTGACACAGTTTCGTTTTGTTGTTACTCAATGTAAAGTTATATATTCATATTACTTTTATACAAATTTTACCAAGGTTAACATGATACTCACAAGGTAAGACACATTATTGAAAATGTCACCCAGGGTCTGGTAGTAAATTAGGGAATTAGGAAGCGGCCCAGTAGAACAGCCTACATTTTAGGATGGCAAAAAGTCAAGTCAAAACCTTAAAACTTTAGCTTCAAATACTAAATGATTTTTATTTTTCATTTGAACTATCAAACTGACAGTTCAACTTATTTTTGGTATAAAAAGAACAGATGAGTTAACTATGGATGAACATGCAGTTTACCATGATTAAATATTTTAATTGATTTAATTCTTTAGACATTTTATTGAGGGATTGATGATTCAAAATTATGATACTAAACAATAATTAACAATTAATGTTAGTCCTGACTCTTTTGACAATAAGCAAAAAAGAGAATAAATAAAATAGTAAAGGTTTTTAAAGTCACATTCACACATTAATCAACACTGTGTTAAGGTTTGTAAACTCGTTATTTACCTTATTTTTGTGGTAACTAAAAAGTACATATTGACCTGCCAGTATACGTAAGTGTGTGCATGCCTGTGTGTGTGTTTTTGGGTGTGCGTGCCTGTGTGTGTGTTTTCACTCAGCCTCCACTCTGTTTTGTCTCGGTCCACGTGTGTGTTTATTAAAGCATTCATCTTTCTCCCATCCTTGTCTACCCCTCACCCACCCTATCCACCCTGACAGTACATGCCACGGGGCAGCGCGTGTGGGCGCGGAGCTTGGCGCCTCACCTCCTTGCCTCTCTTACAGGAGAGACTCGTGGCTCCTCCTTTCCTTCCTGAGCTCAAACGTGCAGGAGGAGGTCGCAGGTCTTTTGACTACGAGGCTGTTGCAGCTGCTGCCAAGGCTTTAGCTGGGAAGTCAGCCCCGCCCGGCCACACAGCTGCTGCTGCTGCCAGCTCCAGTGGTGAGAAGGGGCCGGTGGTGGCTCCGCCTTCTCATCGCTCTGGTGCCATGTTGATCAACGGTTGGCAAGAAGCAGCCATTGATCTAACTAAGTCGTCTACAGAAATAAGCACTACCAGTGGCTCTGGGTCTGCTGAGCCGGTGGTTGCACCAGGAGGTGATTCTGGCAGCGGTCACAAGCTGCCTCCGCTACCTCCCATCACTGCACCACTGCCTGGTTCAGTGGGAATTGACATGGCAGGGATACTGCAGGCGGGGCTAATCCATCCTGTAACGGGGCAAATAGTTAATGGGAGCCTGAGGGGAGATGACTCCTTGAGGAGAAGGAGAGGAGGAAGGAGAAGAAACGTGGAAGCACTCTATTCTGAGTTCACCAAGAGCCGAGGACTGCACGTTCCTGAGACACAGGTGGGTGGAGGGAGGAGGGCCTTCACAGTGTGAGGCCAGTTTAAACTGTTTGTGCTTCATCCTGAAAGAGAGAGAAGCTGCACTTAATGGGGAAAAGTCTTTTTAACTGAACAGGAACATTTTAGGAGAAAGGTAGCGCTGTTCTCTCTTATCCAAGTGTTAAAATCCCTGCATCTCTGTGTGTGTGTGTGTTGTTCTTCGTCTCACCTGCAGGGCCGGATGGAGGTGATCAGTCACTCCTCTGTCTCCTCTACCTCCTCGCCGTCTCCCTCACCTTCAGAGAGACCTGTAGGTCCACCCACTCCATCCTCTTCTTCTACTCCCACTCCAACACAAACGCCTCCGCAGCCAGAGATTGTAGCCATCGACCGAGAGGCCGCCAGCAAAGGTCTGATGGAGTGGCTTAGGCAGAATCCAAGCTACAGCATGGACCTGCCCGCGTTTGCTCACGTGCGTAATTGATGGTTTTGTTCACTGTCTTTACTGCCTTTTTGTACAGGCTTGGTTGGAGAGTTGACTAGTCTTCAAGGAGTTCCCAAAAACCTCCCGAGGACTCTGCTCCTCCTTAGTTGTTAGTCCTGATCTTATTCAGACAAACTGTAGTTACCGACCACACTGTGCCGTTCATTTTATTGAAACATCTTTCAAACCACATATATGTGTTTTGACAGTTAAGTTTCTCACAGCATTACATTCGTTTCTGTGTTTGATTGAATCTTTATCTTACTGACTCCCCCTACAGTCTGGAGCAGGCCTTTTACATGGCTTCATGGAGCGTCCTAAACAACGGAGACATCGCTGTAAAGACCCCACCAAGCTGGACATCAGCACTCTGACCGGGGAGGAGAGGGTTCCTGTCGTGCACCGAGGAACGGGACGACGGGTAAACACACTCACGGTCACTTAACCTGCTTTTAATAACTATGGAAATTAGTCAGTAAAAATTATAATCTTTGTCTCAGTTGCAGCTAGGTGGTGCTGTGGTGCAGTAACCTCTTCAGCCATGCTTCAGTAAAAGCTGAAAAAATAATAATAAAACTTTGTTTTCATTCTCTACTTTGCAGCTTGGTGGCGCCATGGCTCCAGCTATAAAAGAGCTCTCCAGGTGGTTGGATGCCAACTCAGAGTATTATGTAGCTCCAGACTGGGCTGATGTGGTCAAACACTCTGTGAGTCTCTGCGCCAACATCTTTTTGTTTCTGATTCATTTGTAAAAATTATAAATGTATTAAACTTTACGTTTATGTTTCTTCATATTGTTCAGGGTTTTCTTCCTGAGGGAAAGTTCTCCCGCATATTGACTGAACCCGTCAACCGAGACCCCAGCGCTCGGCGTCGAGGCCGCAGGCCGCGCAATGAGATGCCTAAACCGCTGCTGCCCGTCTCTGATGCCTCCACCTCCGGCCTTGGCCCCACCCTCTTTATGAACGGTGGATTAATCGGGAGCATGGACTCGATGGTGGCCATGCAGAACCTGCGTGGTGGTATTCCGGGCATTCCCATATCTGGAATCATGGCAGCTGGATTTCCTCATGGTTTCCCTGTCCAGGCGGGAGCAGCAGGAGCGTCAGCAGAAGACGCTAAAAACGGACTCAGCATGTTGCCTATGATGTTGCACGGCATCCCGCATCCACACGGGGGTGCCATCTCACAGCATGCTTTGTTCAGCGTTGGTGCAATGATGGCACACACTCCACCTCCTCCTCCACACACTAGCGCCTCTTCCGCCTCATCCACATCCTCTTCCTCTGTAGTGTCTGGGTCTAAGGTTACCATGACGACGACAGCAGCACCGACATCAGAGGCAGCCAGCCCTTCATCTACCACACCTGCAGAGAGAGAAGGAGCCACCTCCGAGAAAGAGAGGAGCCAAGAAGACAAAGGAGGAGAGGAGGTCGGCAAAAGGCCAGGAGGAGTGGAGGCAGAAATCATCAGCACCTCCACCACCAGGCCCCACCTGGGACCTGCTCATCTCACAGCCAGTACCAGCAGCCATCTCACCTTCAACCCCTTCCTGATCCCAGGAATGTCCCACGGTCTATTGTACCCTCACATGTTCTTACCACACGGGGGCATCATGGCGCTGCCTGCCATGCCCCCAGGTGTTGTTGACGGTTCCCCGGGGAGCCCCAAGAGGAGGAGGAAGAAGGGGCGGGAGGAAGGGGTGAGAGAGGAGGAGAGAGAGAAATCAGCAACGGGAGACTCGGAGGAGATAAAAAGTACAGTTAAGGCTACTTTCACCTCCCACCCCAGCGTCTCCTCGTCCCCCACTTCCTCCTCTACCTCGGCTCTGGACCCAGGCCCGCCTCCGACTGAAGAACCCCAGACTGGGCTAGAGAGCAGAGAGGTCGGGCGTTCAGAGGGACTGGACTCCCTTGATCTCCCTGAGGGGGCAGTAGAGGGGGAATCTGTGGGAGAAACCAAGGAAACAGTAAGTGAGGAGAAGCAGGAAGCTGAGGAGCAGAGACAGCTGAAAGAAGAGGAAGCATAGAGGAGCTGCAGGAGGAGACCAAGTGCAGAGTACAGAGAGACAAACAGCGCCCCCTCTGTCCTCGTCGTTGCTTTTTACTCCGCAGAGCAACACTGTAAAGTTTGTGCCGTGTCTGTCAGTAAATGTCCATGTAAAGACTTTTATCATGACAATGACTAATAATAATGATGACGATGAAGATGATGATGATGAATATAATCAACTTGGTCATGTTAAAATACCAACTCTCACCCCACCTCCTCATTCTCTCCTTGTATACAGACAAGTGTAAAAAAATTCTTCAGTGTATTCTCCCCTTTCATTCTACATCAAGAGTCACACACACACACACACACATACTGGTTCAAGACGATCAGTTTGGACAAAGGTTGTGGATCTGAGGTTGGACATGACTAGTCCAGGTCACACCTCTTTATCACATCTAATTTTTCAACAAAATTTAGGGAAACACGAGAAGCTTGAGACAAATGTTCATTACAAACATCACTGTCAAAACAATCAATCAACAATCAAGGTTTTCCAAGAAGAAAGACAACAATCCTGGAAGGATTTTAAACTATTCTTTTTTTTTTTTACTTTCATAATGTTCAGCAGAAAGACAACAGTTTTTCTCTTTTTTTACACTTTTAGTGTGAATTTGGTCAAACCCATAACACTTCAATTTTGAGTTCACATAAAAGTGTTTTTAAAACATAAAAGTTCAGCACAGCTGTTCAAATGATAAAAACCAGGAACGTTTTTGTCGAGAAGTACACATTTTTTTGTTAACTGAATTAGGGAAACCATTAGTCTGTTATTATTTGAACAAAATAGTTTATAATATGTATATTTTATTTTTATTATAATTTCACTACAATCTTTTCTGTGCCGACGCTGCTAAAAGTTCTCCGTAAGAAGTGAAGCCAGTTTAAAAACTGGAAACTTTCACTTTTTAAACCAAATCATTTTAGTTAACAAGCGATTTTTCTCAGATCGTGACACAATTGCACTTTGGAAGGACATCTCTGAGGAGATGGCTGTAAAAAAAGAAGCAACCACAGGGGGCGGGAGCAGCCAGATTGTAGCGGCTTTTGTTCAGAGATAATGGAGAAAAAAGAAAGGATTTTTTTTATTTCCCCCTCCAGATCACATTTACTTAGTGACTCGGTTTAACAGTGGCTCATTTTTTTTAACAAAAACAAACAAACAAAAAAAACCTGACCATCACAACAATTATTTTAATTTTTATTATTTTCTCCTTTTTGCCCATTGTGAGATTCCAACACTGTCTGTGCCATGTGTGCCAGCTGTCCACTGAAAGGGAAGGTTTGTGTTTGGGTTATTTGTAATGATGATGAAGATCAGGTCACGGGAGGAGGAGGTACAGAAGGGGAGGGCGGGGGCACCAGTTCGCACTCTTGTGTAAATCTATATCCCTGTATATTACTGTTTTGTATGTGCATCGTTTCTTTTTATCATCTTTTTGGCTCTTTTCTTTTTTTGCAAAAAAAAAGAAAAAAAAATACTTGACATATTTGAGGAGGTTCAACATGAGGTTGGTCCCAGTGTTTCTGTAGGTACTGTACATTTGATGGATGCAAGAGGCTGGTTTTTATTCACAACAGGGTCTGTGTCTGTGACTGTTTATAAATGTGTGTGTGAGTGTGTGTGTGTGAGAGAGAGAGAGACGTTCCTGTTTGTAAACTCACACCTTTGGTTTTCATACATGAAAACATTATTTTTGCACAGTGTCTTTTTTGTGTTGAAAAAAAACTGTGTGTGACAATATGGAAGTGAGTGTGTGTGAGTGTGTGTGGCGTTTGTCCATGTGCATGCATGAGCACACACACTTCTCTGTTATGCCTCTGTTTCTGTCTCCAGGTCACATTTCTCATTGACAGACGAAACAAACCATCGTCGTTGCCTTGGTCACACATTTGTGGCTCCGTGTAATTTATTTGACTTTTCTTTTTGCCAAACTTTCACCAAATACGACTCTGTTTTTCTCTCTGTTTCCTTTTGTATTATTAAAAAGTCAAAGGCCTTACTCACGTCGCTGGTGTTTGTCCACAGATGTTCTGTTCTGTTTCGTTCTGTCCTCTGAGGTGAAACGCTACGATGTCGCCGTCGTGTTGGGCCTCGGTGACGTGTGTTGAAGGTCAAGGGTTCACTCCTCACATCAATTGTGGCTTAAAGCACAAATGGAGACAGAACAAAAAAGTGATTTCTCTGAAAGGCAACTCCCGGATACTAAGATGGTGAGTGAAAAAAATGTTTTTAATTTAATCTAATCTCCAATACTGTTTCATGGTAAACGAAATATTAGAAACATGCTGCCAAGTGAATATTTT